CCTGTGCCTCCCCTGCTGTGTCTCTTGTTCCTATGCGGTGGGGGTAGGGGGGACTGGGAATGGTTTTTTGGGCTACTCTTGCTTCTTCTGCTGCGTCCCACTGCCACACACCACTTAGCTGCGGTGTGACCTAGCAAGTGGTTTTGCCTTCCCGAGCCTCAATTTCCTGATCTGCAAAGTGGGTAATGACACGGAAGATTCAGCGAGATCATGCATGCTGGGCCTGCCTTGGCTCCACCATTTATTTCTTCGCTCATTTCACACCTATTTCCCAAGTGCCTACTGTGCGCCAGGCACTGAGGCCAAGCTGCAGTAACCAATACCAGCCGAGTCCCTGCTCCTGGCTTGGTGAGGGAGCAAGATCAGTGTATAAACAGAGAAATATCCACTGCGATTTCAGACTGTGAGGCCTCCAATTCTGTCGTCAGGTGGAGAGTGACTGGGGGAGGGCACTCAAGATTAAATGAGATTTCTGGTTCGTGTCTGCCTTCCTCCTCCACTTCGAACTCCATGAGGGCAGGGTCAGATCTAAAACAGTGCCCTAGGGGCTGGCCGGTGAGCTCCGCTGGTCAGAGCGTGGAGTTGATAACACCGAGGTCAAGGGTTGGGATCCCCACGTTGGCCAGCCACCAAAAAAAAACCCCAGAAAATAAAAACCTGCCTGGCACTCAGTAGGTGCTCAATAATAAATATCGAATGAATTAAAGAGGGGATTAGATTAGGACTCAACTCTTAGAAATTTAGATCAGGAAGGAGGTTCCCCACGAACCATGAACTAATCCACCCCCCTCCCATTTTACACAGGAGGTGAATGAGTCCCAGAGTGTCCTCATTCCTATAAAAATGAGGATGGATGAAGGAGTGACTGTGAACAGCTGGGAAAGGGACAGGGTAGAGATCATAATTGAGCACAGGGCCTTCCAGGAACTCATGAGGCCCAGCCGGTGCCCACCCCTCCCCACGTACCACACAGACAGCTCTGCATCCATCCATCCAACATGTATGTATTTAGCATCTACTATATGCCAGGAGCTGGGGACACAGCACTGCACAAAATGAAACTCCCTGCCTCCGACAGAGTGGAGGAAACAGAAAAGAAATAACATGAACAAAGAAATATATAACAACAAAATGTGATTACGAGTGTGATGGAAATAGGGAGCTTATGACAAGAGAGAAAAATGGAAAGGTCCATTTCAGGTTGGGTATCCAGGAGGACTTCCTGGAGGAGTTGAATTGCTCTTGAAACACACACACTCTAGCCCAGACAATTTTTTTTTTCCTTTTTGTCTTTTTTCGTGTCCGGCAACGGACCGCAACCCTCAGTGTCGCGCCCGTACCGGACCGGGACCGGCAACGGGATCGCAACCCTCGGTGTTGCCCCCACACCTCGCTCAGCCAGTGAGCGGGAACCGGTCTGTATGTGGGATCCGA